ATGCACATCAACACATCAACACAGAGCAAGTTTTTACCCAATCATTTCATTCAAAATCTGCTCGCTTGTTGTATTTCATCCAAAATACATATGGCAACACAAATCATACATGTATTTTGTAAAACATTGAACAATCATGATATTCGTAGATACAAAAATGAATAAATATATTGGCGAGAATATCAAATAACTGATAAGCTTGATGTTCCTCTCAAAGACCAAGCAAAAATACAAAACATTAGATTCCTTCTTTTGACGTCAGGAGCAGTATACGATGAAAATCTAGTCATTTCTTAATATTAATATTACAATCAAGAATGAACGAAACTACCACAAATACACTTGTGCATGTGCAAGCAGGAGTACCAAAACAAGGTCATATCCTAATCTGATTTTTTTGCTTGAAATGTAATTGCTTACTTTATATCAATGCAATACTTCTGGCAAGAAAATCATCAATGACATTTTAAGCCACTCACTCTTATTAATCATGATGTCTATCCACTTGAAAAAAATGTATCCAATAGCAGATAATCATTTGGAGAAAAAAAGTGTTTGTTGTAATGTTTTACATTTCACTTCCACTCACTGCATGTGTAGTGTATGAAAAATTTCTTAAATAATTATATAAATAGGGCTAAACATTTGCATACAGAGAAACAATACAAAATAGTTTTTATATTTATGTGTAAATGCGTCTGCATGAAGAAAAACAAATACAATTAAAACAATAATAATAATTAGTATTCATATAGTGCCAGTATCCGCCAGGTACGGATGCTCATGGTGCTATACAAATACATTAGTTTTAAGTACTTGCTCTACAAGTTTATTGAGCAAGATTGTGAATTACAGCTTAACAAAGTTAAATACATGCAGACATAGTTCCATATCCACGTAAAGAATAATAATAATAATTACTTTGACTGCAGAACGGTCCAATCCAGCTATCAATGCATTGACCCTTGCAGAGACCCCTCTCCGTCTCGCAAGCCTCTGGAGCACAATGACATTGCTGAAGACAATCCAAACCAAAGGTACCCCCTTCACACTCTAAAATATAAAAAAAAACAAAAGAGTAAGGTCACATATTAGAAACAAATGGTATATGAAAAGTACATTAACAACATTTTTAACCAGTTGAAAGCAAAGCCTTGTGTAGCTTGTGCTAAAGTGTAATGAAAGCGTGTTACACCAAAATCAAATATGTTTCCATTAAATGATGTTAATTATTATACTAACATCTTGCTTCCTCTTGATTCAATAGACAGGTTTTGACATATAGTTTTCACTACTGACATGATCACTCACACCAACCATTATATAAAAACTACTTGTACTATCTCCAATTCACATTCAACATATTTGTCATGTCTTCCATTCTTTTGGCAGCTCCATAAGTAAAGCAATTTGTTAAAAACAAACAAATATGGCATGTTTTGGACATCAATGTAATCAATATTCGAGGGGAAAATGATATATTGATATAATGGGCATTTTGTCAACAGCATATCAAGATTCTAGGCCTCTGATTGGTCAAAACTACAGGCATGAAATTCACTTCTGACTGATGGGCAGGAAAGCAAACGAAAAACATACGCATTAAGTAAACAATGGCTATAAGCAGTTGGCACACACCCTTATTTCAGAATTTTAAACTTTCCATCCATAATGAATACACTTTGAAGGAAATTCTTTGGGTGAATCCACACAATGAATACGATATATTAAACAAATATTTACTGCTGGCTTAAATTATAATACATGTACATGTAACTCCTCGGTGCTCTCGAGTCTGCACTAAGCAACTCAATTTGTCATCAGATAAGCGAATGGGAATTTATATCGAAAATTCAACACCCTTTATTGAACAATAACATTTCACCTTGACATTCGACCTGGTCACTGCGTTCTTTGTATCCTAGAGCACACTTCTGCTCAGGGCACTCTCCAGTCTGTTTATCACATGGTTTATCATTCAAACAATGACATTTATCAGTGCATTGAGATCCATAGTAACCGTCTTCACATTCATCTGCAACTGGGGGTGATAAGAAAATATTTTAGGAATTACAATTAGCAAGTACTACAAGCAAATAATATAACTCATTAAAACTAGTTAGTTGCCTTATAAATATGTATCTAAATTATTTGCATTATCGATTTCAATTATTACACATTCTCTAAAAATTTAACAGTGCATTCACTAAGTAAATTTGTGTATTTTAAGAAAGAAATCATCTCCTAAATTACAAAACATGATATGGACCGTGTGGCAGAAAATGGAATATATGGGATTAGTTGTTTCAAAACACAGCTTAAGAGTGGGTTTGTCTAGAAAAAAACAAAATATAACAAATTCAAATTAATCTATTGACTACTGAATGTTCTTATTCCACACATATATAATACAAGAGCCATCGATTTATGTAGGCGATGGGTTTAAAATATGTCGAAAAAAAAAAATCTAAATATTATATAGCTGCAGTGTACATGTACAATTCTGATTTATGTTATTTGGGGAAAGCATTTATTTGATAGTATATTGTTATCATTGCTGATCATGACTTACTTTGACAGTTGTCCCCAGACCAGCCAGTCTGACATCCACCTGAACATACTCCACTATAAATATTACATGAAGAAGCACCGCCTGCACAGTGACATGTCTGTGAACATCCTGGACCATATGTACCAGCAGTACATACTGTAATAAAATTCAAAAAAAAAAAAAATTAACTGATTCAATACAATCATCAGAAAGAAATACAAGATACAAGATACAAGATATTTTATTTGGTTTTTGCAAACAAGTTACATAGAAATATTGTGCATGTAACAATAATTTCTTCTTCTCCTTCTTGTTTTTCTTTTCCTTCTTTTTCTCCTTCTCATTTACCTCCTTCTTCTTCTACTCCTTCTCCTTCTCTTCACCTCTGAGTCGCGCCTGACCTCACTCATCAATCCGGCCACATTGTGGTATGTGCTTTTGATATTTTTATTTTTTTAAATCCGAGAATGGTAGATGTATTATAACTTTTAGGCCTATATATATTTTACTATTATAATTTGAGCAACATTAAATGACTATCGGAGTACTTACGTGTGTTACATGCTAGACCAAGAGCACCGACGTCACATGAACATCCATAAGGATCAGGTAGGCAAAAAAGAAAACCATGACATCGTGTGGAAGCATCAATGTTTGAACATTGAAACTCGCAGTTCAATCCAAATCGATTTCCACCACCAGTTCTACAAACTGAAGACAAAAAATAGTTGCATTGTTGAATTAAAACCTTATAGTCAAACGAAATGAGATTTCATGAGATAAATTGCAAATATGGTTGCTTTTCTGTAATCTCCTTTTCAAATTTCCGATGGTGTATAGTTCTTCTTAAAAATGATAGTTTTTACTAAATTAAATAAAACCGTCTCATCGAATATAAAAACTAATGTTATTGAGACATTTATTTAGACAGTATTTATACATTTCATATGGTATTACGGAATACGGAGAACAAAGCAAATCATTTCCCCTGTTGTATCTTATTTCACATTCATTAACACAGATTGATTTACTTGATGTACAGAGTATACATGTACATGTAGAATGACCCGCATATCTGGTAAACAGGGTCACTTTACAAAGTATTTACAAAATCATTTTACGTTATATAACAGACCGTTTATAATACATGAGAGATAACACATTATAAAAGATCACAAATATACTTGATATATACAGAATGATAAATGAAAAATCAGCATTATTCTTACAAACAATTCGTAGTAAAATAAAAGATTTACAAGTCCATATATATATAAATAGTAAAATACATGATGTATAACACTATTCTGATTCCTCTATCTCTTCGGCAGGTAGAAGAAAGACATATTTGAAATGAACATGTAAAATTAGATGTGCATTGCTCTGTTCATTGTCAATGGAATAAGACAATAAATATTTTATTCAAGTCATCTATTAAGAGATAAAAATAAATAAACATCATTCCTCTTGAAGTTGTACAGGCCTACTTACTTTCTAAACAATTCGGGCCCTTGAAGTTGTTTGGACAGATACATAGACCAGACTTGTCATCACAAATTCCACCATTGTAGCATTTATCACAGATACCATAACACTCAGGGGGACCCCACTTACCAGCAGGGCATTCTAATATTACATAGGGAGAGAGAAAAATAATTATGGAAAATACATTTCACTAAAGATTACATCATAACAAAGATGAGAATAGATATCAGATAAGCAAGGTAAAATAATATGGAAAAAGACAATTTAAAAGTTTGTCAGACGATAATGTTCTCGAACGTAGAAACTAAAGTGTATGCCATTTGCTCTGTCACATTCTTAATATACACACGGGTAATTTTGAAATACCCGTATGTTCAAATCATATCACAGATTACACTTGGAGTTTATAAATTGAAGTTTCATAAATCTTTTGAAAAAAATTTGCAAAGGGAAAAACTGCCCATTATACGGTAATATGCCGTTCCAAAAGATCACACTTCGACATTCTCTACTGAAATACTCTGAACTAACATTATTTAGAAATCCTCACATTCATTTTTCATTAACAATTAAATATAAATAATTACGTTAAAATCATCATCCACATGTGAATTGCACAATCCAATGAATCTAAAATAAAGATTTTTTGGCAAGATATGAAGCAATATCTTTTACATGTATCGTAACAAACAATATTGTATTGGATAAGAAATGAACTCTCTCAAGAAACCGAATCTGATATACACAGGAATACACTTAATATGTACCTCTGACGATGAGTCTGTATAGTCCTCCTCTACTTTGATGCCTCTCGTTATTATAGTAGATCTCATAGATTCCTTGGTCTGATGTCTGGATTGGGTTCGGGAAGATGATCTGCGTCTGCCCACCAAATGATGTAAAAGCCTTACTTCCATCTTTCATCCAAGTAATCACGTTGTCACTTGCCTCAGGATTGTAACGACTAGTCATGCTGATCATCACTCCGGTGTCATTCACATTGACTGTCTTTGTAAATAATTCATCACTTGATATGAATTTAGCTGTTAAAAGAGATAATAATGAGTTAACCAAAAAGAAGGAAAAAAATAATCTTTATTTCATTACATGTGGCATCTACAGGTCGAGCGCACTGTGGTCATTTGAGCTATGGTCACAAAACAGAACAGCGACCGACCGATTAGTAGCCTGCTCGGTCGCCGCTGGAATTTAGGCATCGCCCAACAATTTTTGGGGGAAGTCGAGCAGGCTTTAGAGCCTGGGCGGTGCCCTTTGGATTTCCTGTCGGTCGCCGGTCGATTTTAGGTAAAAACTGGGCGAAATTGGAGAGCTTCTCCGGGCGGCCTCCCTGCAGTGACCGACCGATACCCGAGCGGGCTCCCACTGGCCACCGGCTAATTTTAAAAAAATTCCCGAGAGCCGGCCGGTGACCCAGTGACCGAATGATCTCCCAGAGGCGACCGGGCGGCGAACGCTCGGAAGGCGTTTTGAGTTTTGAGCCAATTTCGCCCAGGCACTGAGCGGCGACCGCCCGGGCATCGAGCGTACTTTGGGCGGCGAGTGAAAGTAAGCAGGCGCCATCCGAATTTTAACTCCGCGCTAAAACTTCAGCAGGGACCGAGCGAAGCCCTAAAAACAAGCGGTGCCCGGGCGACCGCCGCTCAGTGCCTGGGCGAAATTGGCTCAAAACTCGCCGCCCGGCCGCCGGGCAAGCTACTTTTAGGAAATGTGACCATAGCTTAATTACTCACTAAAAGAAACTGTAAGATTTTATAAGACTTTGCACTCATTCATTTTACCATTTATATTTTTCAATAACAGGTTTAGATAATTTCCAAGATTATAACATGGCGCGTGTCCAAATCTGTTTTGACTTTCCGTTGACCATTTGAATGCTATATCAACACAATTGGGGTGCAATTTCATGCTCAACTACATCCCACGCATGCTTTGCATATGGTAACAATTTCGTGCTATTTAAAATGTCTTAAGTAGTAATCTTTCTTATCGAGCCATTTTATTGAATCCCTCTCGCTCCTGATCCTTTAGAAACCGTCTTGCGTTATAAATTCTCTGCTCTATGCAAAATATGTCCACAGTAGCGTTTTCAATGTGGATTACAAATGAACTATATAAGAAGATTCCACACATAAAATTTCATCGCCAAAGAAAAACAATTCTGCTGTTACAAAGCGTCAAAGTGTAATAATTATTATAAAGGGACGGTCCCGGGCTGTTTAGGGACTACAATCTTAAAATGCACTTTAAGTTCTTCTTGTCTTTAATTTTGATAATTCAGTTTAATAACAAAATGTTAAAATCAATTTGTGCAGAAGAAAACAGAAAATCTGAGAGAAAATTCATGGATTTCAAAATTATCGATTAACAATACTTAGTTCTTCTAAAATTGACATTAATCATGACCTCATACGGGATGTGCTCAGAACTTCACTTTGATGTAAATTTACGGTAAGCTTCTATAGTATACATTGACAAACATTTTAAAAATAAAATATGGAAATCCTTTCCTGTTTTTATAGAGAGTGCAACAATAATATTACCATCATTTCGTTGGAAAAATGTAGTGACCCTTGTAACATCTCGATCAGGTTTAGATGCCTCACAGTAGAAAGGACCGAAACCATCTCTATCCCATCCATCTCCTATAGGGAATCTCATCACTCTGATGAATGGATATCTAATTGAGTGTTGGACATCCGCTGGTGGTGATCTGTCTGTTGTTATTGGGGCTGATCGACCAAATGATAGTGAAGCATTTCTATCTGGTTCACTGCGGTAGCATTGATACTCATGACGGCTAGATGTTTCTACATTGGTGTAGCCTATGGTCAGCACTGTGATATGAACAACCTCACCTGGAAAACCGAGAGAAAATTTAATTTGTGTACAGTATAATATGTCTATACTCATTTTCTTTTTCCACATGCATTTCGGACTTCAAAACATCTAGTTGGTTATACTAAACTGACAATATGACACTTAAATAACAACACTGTATTATAATCTAAATCTAAATAGGACGTTGTCTGGGTGGCGAGTGACGATGTCTCGACGGAGCCCGGCAACAAGGAACGAGGTCAGACGGCTCGTAGCGGATTGGCTGGCGGCAAGGAACGGTGATTGGCGGTGGGTTGCGACGACGATGACGTGACTCAGCGGCCGACCTCAAAGCCTCTGTGTGTTTGTGTGTGTGTGTGTGTGTGTGTGTGCGCGCGTGCGTGTGTGTGTGCGGGTCGTATAAACAGTCGAAATTGGCGTTCACAGTATTCACAACGTTCTGGTCATTCACTCAGTCATACTCTGTGCTGGGCTAGAGAAGAATCTACTTACTTTTACATTTTTACCTTGGATTTTTTTTAATTCTCAGAGAAATCGTAGACCATCGTTGTAAAATCGTAACCCATCGCAGACCACCGTTGCAATGCCGCAGGTACTCGCAAACGACCCGCCATCAACAGTTATCACCCGTCACCCTCCGTCACAATTATCAAGCCATCGTCACCCCAAGGTCGTCACAATTTCGTTATTTGCTGCAATGTGTCGTCAGGGTACGAGATGTGACGTTGTTTTGCCGCCAATGGTCGTTGACAACGTCTACCAACGAAATCGTGACGACCTCAAAACGACTAGAGACAGAATCACACGGCATGAAAACGTCAAGGAAATGAGGGTTGCGGTCTCCAACGAAATATGAACGGCATCACAACGATTTTTTTTTTTTTTTGCCGCTACAAAATGTTCAACATGCTGAAAATTTTCCGACGGACGCGACTAATAATTTCGGCCTTCTGCGGTCGCTAGCGGATTCGTCAGCGACAATTGAGGGCAACACACGATGATTAGCGGGAAAATTCCAAATTGCAATTCGCAGCTTAAAAGGATCTGGTAACTCGGTTTCAGAATCTGAAACAAAATCTAGGATTTTCTAGGATGCTACAATCATAATTATAAACCTTTAGGTCAGTTAGGAACCCCATGACTTTTACAAGCCGCGACCGCCTGTCTGATTATCAAAATATTTATGATTGGAAATCAAAACCAAATATTGCGTTTTCCTAACGTTTTTCATAACACTACAGTCTATTGGGGAAAACGAGTATGGTAGAACCGGTCACTCCAAGATTTTACTTATTTGACGCAATTTTTGTTTGGGCTTCAATATTAATAATAATAATAATAGCTAGCGCTTTTCAGGACCGAAGGCCCTCTCAAAGCGCTTTACATATATATATATTATTACCCCGGTCATCGGATTCAGGCTTACCCGCACACAATGTATGCACATTATCCACTCCCTGGGGAGCATTCCAGCCACGCGTCATTTTTACAAGCGCACACTTGTTAATCTAAGCACATGCTTTCGCATCCTACCGGTTACCCATTTAACACCTGGGTGGAGAGTGGTAAATGTAGATCAATGTCTTGCCAAAGGACATTAGTGCCGCGGAGGGACTTGAACCGCGGACTTTGTGATCCACAGTCCGGTGACATATCCACTCGTCCGCGACACCATATGACAGACACTGATAACACGTATGGCCGTACATCTCAGATGTAACATTGATAAACGATGCCTTTAACGTAGTGTTCGGTACCCTTTCCCCCTATTTGTCATAGTGTGAGCCTGCCTTTAGCGACTTTTCATCATGAAGATCTTTGCCTCAGAATACTACATGTATTTTGCATTTTTGAATATTACAAATCTGTTTAAGATGATAACAACACACGTCGAATTATTATTTGAGTTATATATGATAATAATTATCCTTGCTTATATAACGCCTAACACTTACTTTAGGCCTAAAATAAAAACTTGTTGTATTGCCCTTCGCGACCGACCCAAACATCTGAAAATCTACGGTCGGCATTTTATTTTTTTATTTTTTTCCAACCGTTTTTTAGATTTTTAAAAAAAATTAATGAATACAAAAATATGTATTTTGTTTTGGGATATAAATGCATGAAATCAAATTATTTCAAAATTCTAACTCGAGCAAAACCATGGATAATAATTAGGTGGAAAAGATATAAATGGAATGATGACGCTGAAACACATGTATTAAAGCATTAAAAACTGGGAAATATCAGCCAAAAGAGGCTGGGGGGGGGGGGGAAGAAAAACAAATCAAATCTGAAAAATATCGGCCCAAAGAGGGGGACAAAAAAAACAACAACAAAAAAAAAAACTTTTCCGACCGACCGACCCATGTTTTGGCACCCAAAGGGCAATACAACAATTTTTTTATTTTAGGCCTTATCAGAAGTCTCTAAGTGCTCATCAATAATGCAGCATAATTACCCTGGCTTTAGCAGTGTAGCTATTACACGCGCGCTGCGTTTCAAGGAATTCCTACCAGGTAGTTGTGTAGGCGCTACTGGATTAACAATTATTTTTCTTAAGTGGTGCATCCCTTACCCTTTCTAATCACCTACCTTCATCAGTAGTTAGTCCTATTGGATATTTAAAAAAAAATCTCTACCGATTGTAATACAAAGGTAAAAACTGAGTCCGTGATGATGGCGGACATTATGATTTACAATGTGTTATCATGCGTCTGGTTATAAGATGTTTTATATATATATATATATGATGCGAGGCAGTGCATAAAGCACCTGAGCAAAAAGTCCAATCATTCTCATGACAACTCTGATAAAAGAAAATATAAAAATGGGGACATCCCCGAGTCACCTACACTGGAAGCAAGTGGAGATATCTCACATTTGATAATCTTTTCTCTCGCCAACGGCATACTTCTGAATAGAAAATTAACTGTGTATAAGTGGAAAAGGACTGAAATTGTGTTCCTTCAAGCATTACACATTTTTCTTTCAGTGACAAAAGCAAACAAACTGTAACTGACTCCCCCCCCCGACACACACACACACACAACACACACACACAACACACTCGACGTAGTTCACAGCCTCGTAGTACGATCGCTGAGGGCAAAGTACGACGAAAAATTTCTGATGATAATAGAAGTATTTTCATTGTATTGATCGTTATTATTCTATTCAACAAAACCAGAGAACTTTTGCATGACAATTCGGCAACTATAATATACATTTACACTGTACATCTTGGTAGAACAGCTCTATTATATGCACATATTATTTATCGGCCTCCTCAGAAATCGTCATCAAAACAATTAATGCCAGACTAAGATGTAGTATAGTTTACATGGTAAATAGTGATTTTCGATTTCGTGTATCCCGAGAAGTTTGAGAATGTGAACGATAGATAATAGTCTCAAACAAAATTATATGCGATAAGACGGAACTTCATTTTAGCAGTCATATGTATATATTTTTTTCTCAATGGTTCATTTTAAGCAAAATTCTTTTTGAAGTCTTGATTTTAAGCAACGAGTAGAAATGTTTCCGAAAGCGTGACTTCGCAGAGCAAGTTGTGTTATTCTTTATCTTTACTTAAAAAAAATGGTACGAAGAATATTCTCCTTTCACACAAAAAAATTTGCACTGTATTTTATATAAATAAGGCGCTTTTTAATATTCCTGTTATTTCAAGGCCAGATTCATAGTTTCGGCCAAATGAACAGAACCTGTTCTTAAAGCATCAAAATCTGAACTCTTATGCATGTAGGCATTATCCGCCGATTAATTTAAAAACTATACACAAATCATCGGCTTGTGATAATCTTTTATATTATGATAACTACTTATGTAGGAGAGGTGTCATCTTATGACTGCATAATTATGTTGATGTAAATATTAAAGCGTACTCTTTTAATGTAAAGCGCATATTAGAGAATTAGGTGTTAATTATTATGCGCTAAATAAATCAAAAGTAATTACTACAGTTAAAAGCATGTGGAATAGTTTTGTTATTTCCGTGACATTTTCTAAAATGCATTTGTTAAATGATGAATCAATCAAAGAAATAAGAACAATTAAAAAAAAAGCATATAGTTGAAAATGTTAAAACCCTTATCTAGATTAAGTCGAGTGCACTATATATATATATATATATATGAAGAGCTTGATTCCAAAAGAAGCTAAATCCATATTTTATCAAAACTGAGTTTTTTGTCTTAAAATAATGATTTCCTACATGGGGACAAAATGCATTATATCACAGTCGAAAATTTCATCAGGAAGTATGAACAAATTTAGGTACAGTATCATGTTTCATTCCAAAAGGAGCTAAATCCAAATCGGTTATTAAAGTTATGATACAACATCGATAATTCTCGGTTTCGTTTTTTTCTGGGACGTACTGTTTGTCGCATGACCTTGATGACATTTTAAAAAACCATCGACTCGTTCATGATCACCCCAGTACGCAAACAATCACACATCAACATAGATTTCAATGGATAATAGCAACCTACCTTGTATCAATATCGGAAAACACACGAAAAGAGACAGAGTTGATAAAAACGGTATCAGCACTTTTGATGATGCCATTTTCTCCAGGATTCTCCGCAACATCCACATACAACACTCCGCACGTAATCTCAACCAACTGTCAGCCGTAAACCGTGGTCCCTCACCCGACATTTGGTGTGAATATCCACAAACAGGTTCCTAGTCAGATGCCGTCTGTATAACTGTTCTACCCGGAAGTTAGTGTTGGTGTTGTTGTATAGGTTTAAAGGCGTTTATTATTCAGGAGTAAAGCCATG